GAGGTGGCCCCGCTGAGCAGCATCTGTGCTGCTGCCCTAACCAAGGTGAGGCTGAGCAAGCAGAGTCCTTCAGCAGGGCCAGGCAGGCAAGAAGCTAACAGCCGTCCAGGGGACCCTGGGGACCCAGCTCTCTCCACCCACTGCTCCCCTCTCCAGGCCAGGGCCCGCCCAGTGCCCATACCCCTCCTCTATACTCCCAGGCCCAGGAGTCATTAGCGAAGGGCACTTTGGATGGGGGAGGAGGGATTTCTTCCTTGCCTAGCTGCAGTGTACCCAGAATCCCAATGTGAGCAACGCCAGGAGGCCTGAGGGCAGTCTGCGTGTTTATATTCATGTGTACACATGCACGCACACGCATTTGCACAGTCACGTGCAATCCCCACTCATACACACTCCTTTGTAATTGGAATTCCTTAACCCCCACAGCCCCCAGCCCGCTCTCAATCACATGTGGGGCACTGACTGCTGGGGAGGCTACTGATGCCTCCTGTGATATGGCCTGGGCTGGGTGCACTGTGCTTGTCTCAGGAGCTGGGGTGTGACAACCCCACTAGCTCATGCTGGGCAATGTGCAGCAAGCAAACAGCAACTCTTCATCCTTGTGTGGTGCCACAGGCCGAGCTCTGTCCCTGAGCCCACAGTCGCAGTCCTAACGCCCATTGCCTCCAACTGCACTTGGAGATCAGAGTCTTTAAAGAGATCAAGTTAAACAAGGTCAGTAGGGTGGGCCCTGATCCCATAGGACTGTGTCCTTGTAAGAGATCAGGACACAGACACACACAGGGATGACCACATGAGGACACAGGGAGAAGATGCTATCTGCAAGCCAAGGAGAGAGGCCTCAGCAGGAACAGCCCTGTGGCACCTGGATCTTGGACTTGCAGCCTCCGGGATGTGAGAGAATGAATGTCTGTTGTTTAAACCACCCAGTCTGTGGATTTGTCACAGCAGCCCTTACAGACTACTGCAGATGGTAACTCAAGGCCAACACCTAGTCTTCCTTTCAAAGGCCTGAGCAGAGAGGTGAGGCCCCCCACAGGCGAGGAAAGTACAACCCACACTGGAGCAGAGTCAGGGCTTGGCACGGGTGCCCTCCTGCTCCTGGCTGACTGGTCAGCAAGCACCATAGCCAGGCTTCCTGAAGACGTCCGGGCCTGGTGCCAGGAGCTCAAACTCTGGAAATGGCCCCACCTGAGCCAGGCATTATGTTAGGGATGTGGGAAGGTGGGGGCACAGTGAGGACACTGGCAAGTCTTCCAGAGGCTTCCAGCGATCCCAGTGTCAGACAATGGTTGGGTGTTGTGGGTGCAGCATACAGAAAGACCACAGTGGGGGTAGTGGCCATGAGCCCAGTGCCTCACTGCACTGCAGAGACAGGGCTCAAACCCCAGCAACTGACCTGTGCCCCATCTCAGCACAGGGCTGCCACTGAGGGGCAGGGGACCCCTAGGAGCTGGGGCTAAGAGCCCTCACCTGTGTGGTAGCCCTACTCATCTCTTCTCTGCCTGTGCCCTATGCATCTCCACACAGCTATGTGGCTGTGTGGCTGACTTCTTGCCAACCACTGGAAAATAGCAGATGGCCCGGGGCCTGCCTGCTGCCTGTGCCATCTTCCCAGCACTGGGGGCCAGGAGAGCAGCGGACAGCTAGGCCTGTGCTGGATCTCAGACTCCAGGACCAGCTGTATGGACATGGAGTGGGGAGAAAGCCCCCCCATGGGTCCCACCCTTGCCTCAGAGCATAGACCACCCTAACATCCCACCATGGAGGGATGGCTGAGTGAGGGGTGGTCTCATTCCTGGTGAGTGCTCCTCAGAGGAGAGTTGCGCTAATGCACTACTCTTCTGACTGCTGCTACCCACCAGAACCCGTGAGTCTAGTCAAGGGCCAGCCAAGTCATCTCTGTGCCTACCCTGGGGCCAACCTAGAGGGAAACACCATGGTGGGCCTGGCTGAGACATGGGCACTCATGCAGGGAAGACAGCTGGCCTCTGCTCACTTGCCCTGGGTTGACATGTGCCATGCTCCTCATGGAGAGCAGGCCTGCGGGGGACCCAGAGATTTCCACCGAAACGACAGCTGAGATCAGCGAGTAGGTGGCACCAGATCTAAGATCTCAAGTCTCGAACGCCTTTCTCCATGAAAAAGACCAGGTTCTCCAGAAAAGTGGATGGTTCAAACCGTTTCCAATTAAGTTAACTGCACTCAGAACAAAGATCAAGAATACTTATAGGAATGCCAAAATACCTAGCACCCAACAAGGTAAATCTGCAATGTCCAGTGCCTAATCCAAGAGTACCAGGTCTACAGAGACAACATAACAAGACCCCCAAGGGACGAGAAAAACCAACTGTAACTGACCCAGAACTAACCCAGGTGTTAGTATCAGCAGATGAAGACCTTAAGCAGTGATTATAAGTGAATCCCATAAATGCAAAAGTTTACTTGAGGCATGGAAGATATAAACGTAAAAAGACCCAAAACAAGCCTCGAGGGCTGGCCGGTTGCTCAATTGGTTAGCGTGTGGTGCTGTTACACCAAGGTAAAGGATTCAGATTCCTGGACTGGCCAGCCACTAAAAAAACCCCAAACAAGGGCCGGCCTGGTGGCGCACTGCTACAGTGCGCCGCTTGGGAGTGCAACGGCGCTCCCGCTGAGGGTTCAGATCCCACATACAGACCGGTTCCCGCTCACTGGCTGAGCGAGGTGCGGGCGCGACGCCGAGGGTTGCGATCCCGTTGCCGGTCCCGGTCCGGTACGGGCGCGACACTGAGGGTTGCGATCCATTGCCGGACACGAAAGAAGACAAAA